ATAAAGATTTCTGCATTGTTTTATTACATTGCAAAGAGAGAAAGAAAGAAAATAAAATCATTGTATGATATGTTTCATACGCAAAAGATACTTAACTGAAACTGATCTTTACGTAAATTCTCCAACTGATATTACGCCCAAATAGGAACAAGGCTATCCATAAAGAACCGCGATTAACACACACACACACGCAAAACATAAAACACATTAGATTCTATGAATGAAGCAACAAGCACGAGTCATATCTACATAAACATATTTGCAAAAATAACTGGTTTAGCCTGGTGTGAAAATTTCCAATAACGTCCACTTCCCCGTAATCATGACATTTTCTACAGAGCAGTTTTCAAAAATTATTATTATTATTATTATTATTATTATTATTATTATTATTATTTCCTTTGATTTCTGGTGTATACTCATTTCTTTCCGGGTCTAGACCAGAGACTTAAGGTCAAAAATGGTATCATGACATTTTCCACAGAGCAGTTTTCAAAAATTATTATTATTATTATTATTATTATTATTATTATTATTATTATTATTTTCTGTTTTCCTGATCGCTGTTTCAGACAATCCTTTATGAAATCCGTTTCTCGAGACTTGAGCTAAAGGAATGTCCTTCTTTAAAACGTTCTTAAGCAGAATACACAGAGAAAGTTTTTCTGTGCATCTAACAATGCTCTTGAACACAATAGTTTGTATCTGATATAGTGAAAGGTTTCCTGAAATTTTCTTAATGTGTATCAATATTCTTTTTTCATAATTACCAGTGCCATCGGAATAATGCTTGTGTTTAAATGCCACGTTTTTGAGAGTTCCCTTTCATATATGGCAAATATTTGATTACACCGACGTGGTGTAATGGTTAGCAAGCTTGTCCCGATAGATCAGTTTACGACTGAGAAGTGAGTTCGAGCCTCACTGGGTGCCCCTATACTTTCAGCCTTGTGCCACAACTAGGCCACGCTTGTTAAATCACCATTTATGAAATGCCTGAACTATGTCAGATGGAATATAAGAAAACCAGTCCGATGTTTAATTTTTTATTCTGTAGTAATCACTTCGCTGAGACCATTATTAGAAAAATTGAAAAAAAAAATTATGAATGGAGAAATTATGATACTTAGAAACGCAGAGTTTTATTTGAAAGATTTCTCTTTGTAATTTAAAAGTTAAATTACAAAAAAACTTTCAAATAAAACTGTACGTTTTAAATATGTTTGAGTAAATTATATGTGAACTATCAATGAGATTTGCACATAGAATAAATATCTGGGAAATATCAATGAGATTTGCGCATAGAATAAATATCTGGGAACTATCAATGAGATTTGCGCAGAGAATAAATATCTGCGAACTATCAATGAGATTTGTACATAGAATAAATATCTGAGAACTATCAATCAGATTTGCACATAGAATAAATATCTGGGAACTATCAATGAGATTTGCGCATAGAATAAATATCTGGGAAGTATCAATGAGATTTGCACATAGAATAAATATCTCGGAACTATCAATGAGATTTGCGCATAGAATAAATATCTGGGAAGTATCAATGAGATTTGCGCATAGAATAAATATCTGGGAACTATCAATGAGATTTGCGCATAGAATAAATGTCTGGGAAGTATCAATGAGATTTGCTCATAGAATAAATATCTGGGAAGTATCAATGAGATTTGCGCATAGAATAAATATCTGGGAACTATCAATAAGATTTGCGCAAAAATAAATATTCGGGAAGTATCAATGAGATTTGCGCACAGAATAAATATCTGGGAACTATCAATGGGATTTGCCCATTTGCGCATAGATTAAATATCTGAGAACTATCAATGTGATTTGTCCATAGAATAAATATCTGGGAAGTATCAATGAGATTTGCGCATAGAATAAATATTTGGGAACTATCAATGAGATTTGTCCATAGAATAAATATCTGGGAACAATCAATGAGATTTGTCCATCGTAACCGTCAAGTTAAATGTAAAATACAATGCTTTTATATATAGATTAGGAATAGAATAATATTAAGTATCCAACTAGTTTTCATAAATTCTATCTTATATATTTCTTGCATCTGATATGTGATGCATTTTAAATGAAATTACGAGTGGTTTCAAAGTAATTTATATTTTTATGTTTTTGGTAAACAAGGACTTTCGTGCCCGTAAAAAAACGGAATGGCAAATGGATGTTTTTTCCTATGACACTGCATTTGTTTTAACTAGCTTTACTTTTCGTTAATGTTTACTGTTAAAAAACAACGATGATTAGAATTGTAAAAAAACTAAACATATGATGAAAATGAATTTATACATATTTTTTGTTTTTGAGAATTTACAATACACATTTTAAGTATTATTCATATATTAGATAGCTTATTTGCAAGAATAATTTACAAAAATCAAAAAATAATACAATTAAAGCTATTGCAATTTAATATTTATCATTTAATCATTTACAAAGAAATAAATGCGAAATTATTCACCATTTCATAAAATTCAAATCAATTAGCAATTAGCCTGTGCTTTGCCAATCATTTCAATAAACAATGTAATGAATAAACAATCTAAATAAAAGAATCTAATAAATAAATAGTTTATTATTTTTTTTATAACTTTTCAAGAAGAAAAACGTACAAATTAACTTTCATATGTTGAGGTTTTATTACAATTCTAATCATCGCTTTTTAAAACAATAAACATTACCGAAAAGTTGAGTTAGTTAGAAAAAAAAAAAAAAAAAAACAGTGTCACGAGAAAAAACTGTGCTTTTGACAATTCTTTTTTCATGCTGGCACGAAAGTCCATGTTTTTTTTTTCATTTCAATATTTGATAGTCGCTTTTAGTATGTTTCAAATATTATACTCAATGAGTTGTAGGTATGAGAAATTATCATGATAGCTGAAGGATAGTAATTTAAACAATGCAGGAGTAATATGATATCAGATTCATTTTACCTCCTGAGCTAATATGAAATCTATTTCAGATTACCAGGAGGTAACTTGAATACGACATAGCCTGAAATCGTTCTATCATTTTATTTCGTCTTCGCTACAAAAAAAAAAAAAGTGCCGAAAAAGATGGATATATAATAAGCGGGCAAGAGTCTGATTACAGATCGAATTCCTTTTCAAGCAGTGAATATTATTCAATTAAACAACAGAAGATTGATTTTATTAAATTACAAAGATAACAATGGATAAAATTGGGGCGCCTCAGAGGATGTGAATGTTTAGCGCGGGGTTAATCGAATATTATGACTGCGTATTCACTTCAAGCTTCATCGGATCTCCTATATATATGGCCTTGTGCCTAACTGAAGAAAGCTTAGTACCGTATTTGTTGGCGGATTTTTTTCCAAAAGACTGCATCAAAAAATTACACTTCGTTCAATACAGCAGTATCATGTATGAGAGGGACATGAAGACCACGAAGAAAGTGGGATTCACCAAGAATCATTGCAAGAATAGAGATTAACTCTGAGACTATGATTCCTGGAAGTGAGCAACCTTAATACCAATAAAAATATTCCTGAAAAAAAAAAAAAAATCACCAAGGAAAAATAAATTAAGACATTTATGGAATTGCAGAATATTTTGCTCCTTGTTTTGTTGATATACAGGTATTGGAATTTGCTTTTCTGCATATATTTTATAGGACGTTTTTAGCAACAAGTACCATATTTCTTTTGTTTTTGTCTATACCATATTTATCAGGTTCATAGATAACAGCAGATTTCTCTGTAGCTATTATATATGTGCAGATGTTGCTCCATGAAAAACAAGTAATGAAATGAATGCATGATGAAATGTAATAAAATTATTCTTATCCTCAAAATGTTCACATTTCGATTAAAAAAAAAATACCAGTAGTATAATTTGTGTTAATACTGTAAGTGTTTCTTCATGGTTTGTGTGAAGGTCATATAAAGGCCATAATTTGTTTGTTTTTTCTTTTGGCAGTGATGTGTGCATTTTTGTCCTAAATATTCCATGCCAAAATCTGGGTGGGTTCAGTGCGTGGGTGCGTCCAATATGTATGTAAATACTAAAGTGGAATAATATCTAATCAAAGAAATAATACGATATGCCAGAATCTAGGAAATTAGAGCGAAAAAACACTTATGCACATGCAAAGATAATCTGTCCCTCTTGTTTTCAGTATATCATGTGACTGTCAAATTCTCCGAGCCCTCTTTCCTCATCATGTGTCCTAGGAATTTCAACTGGCTCTTCTTGATTCTAAGTATAAGTTTCCTTTTGGTTTCCATTTCCCCTAAACCCTCGTCGTTTCACACATGCCCAGTCCATGATATTCTCAGCATCCTTCTGTAGAACCACATTTCTGAGATTTAGTTATTTTTGCGAGTGAATATTGCATTTTTGGAGTCCTACTATTTAACCGATAGCTGAGGAAAAACGCCGTATTCATGCAGAAGTGAATGTAACGAACCTGACTGGAATTCGAACTCCGCTCACCAATATCTCTTTCTGAGCTGCTATCCATCATATTACACCACCCGCACATTTCTGTAGAAAGATGATGCGCTTTATGATTCTGGAAAGCAAATGTACTATATACGGATGTCACGCATACAAATACATTATACTTTATGTCTATGCCCCAGCCAGTAAAAAATAGGCCAAAATGCATGTCATATTGCCTATTTCCAATTTGTTAACGATTCAATTTTCTGTTCATAGAAAAGTTCCAGTTAGGCAACTCCCAACGCAACACAAAAAAAAAAAAAGAAAAGAAAAGAAAAGAAAGAAAAAAACTCATGCTATAAGCGACGAACTTTTATGGCAGAAATCGGAAGAAATATTTGGAGGCATCATGAAAATGAAAGAAGAACATTAGCCGAAGTCTCGGGTAATGATTTGTACCAATTTTATTTATGTTTTTTTGGAGATGGTTTAAAGAAAATACGATCGACAGAATGCAAAAAGCTGGTGAATTATTCTGAAAAAATAACGCTAAATATATAGATCTATATAACAATATCTATCTACAATATTCATTATCTATTTATCTATGATATTCATTATCTATCTATCTATCTATCTATCTATCTATCTATCTTGTCCATTATGTTCATTATCGTATAATATATTCCATAATGTCCATTATCTATCTATCTATCTATCTATCTATCTATCTATCTATCTATCTTGTCCATTATGTTCATTATCTTATAATATAGTCCATTATGTTCATTATCTATCTATCTATCTATCTATCTATCTATCTATCTATCTATCTATCTTGTCCATTATGTTCGTTATCGTATAATATATTCCATAATGTTCATTATCTATCTATCTATCTATCTATCTATCTATCTATCTATCTATCTATCTATCTATCTATCTTGTCCATTATGTTCGTTATCGTATAATATATCCCATAATGTTCATTATCTATCTATCTATCTATCTATCTATCTATCTATCTATCTATCTATCTATCTATCTGCCTGTTCATATCTATCTATCTATCTATCTATCTATCTATCTATCTATCTATCTATCTTCGTGTCCATGTATGTAAACACGTAGACAAATATGTCAGTAGATTGGTGATGAAAAAACATTTACTTTACCCAACAAACTTTTATGATCAACATGATTTTATTCCTTATCAAAGCACTTTGTTCACTGATGGATATTAATCCGATCTATTGAAGTTTACATAGTGAAAAAGTCAGATCAAAATTCAGATCACTGTTAGGCTGCAGATTTTTTGTTTTACTTTATTATATTATATTACATTAATAACCGTACGAATTAAAAGACAAAGTTAAAGACAGAATAAATGTAAAACGAAAAACAACAAAAAAACAAAAACAAACAAAACAAAAAAGAAACAAACAAAAAAAGAAACAACAAAAACAAACTAGGATTGTATTAAATAGATAAATAGCGTATGACCTACCAGCTCTTTCACTTACACTGGTGGATTTTCTAGTTTGTAACTGCCAGGAATCTCCTGAATAGATAGCTATCTGAGTTTGTTCATATCTATCTACATTATATCTACCAGCGCATTCATTCATCTATCTATCTATCTATCTATCTATCTATCTATCTATCTATCTATCTATCTAATTCATTATAATCATTCAATCACTGGTCAACAACAAATATATTGAAAAAATAATTTATCTGCTTTAGGACAATTTTGATGTGCTGAATTAAAAAATTCCACTGTTTTTGCTCAACTATTTAAGCTATGGCCACATGCCGTGTTTTATATCTTTCAGATTACGATGCGCATTAAAATATCTAAATATGCAGCATCTTTCACACAATAAAATTAATTATTATGTTAATTATAAGCTCATTAATTTCAACCTATCATAAGTATTTTCAGCCAAATATAGCTCCATAAATATTAAAACACGTCTCCAAAATACGTATAAACCAATAATACGCAATAAAGTGCTTACATCTCAAAACACGCCGATTAGATTTTACAATACAAAACCATAGAATACAAATCAGAAAGTCATTATAATTTAAGTATGCCGCCAAAACATCGCGCGGAAGTAGTAGTAAGCAGACCACGTGACTTTTTAGGGCCAATTAAGTATAAGTAAAATCATATAATTCAGGAGCCAATTTCTCAGAAATAACGGTGAAAAAAATCACGATGTTTGACCTCAATAACAGAGTCACTCAGATTCCATTATCCATCATGTCACTCTAACCGATGATATTTAAAAACCTCCTTCGCTTCCACAGACAGTATCAAGAAACGACTCAGCAGCACTGACCAAACCTCAAAGACACCGGCGCCGTCGTCTACGGTAAGAGTTTAATTTTGTTTATCTCCTTTATACCCATGGCTACTACGTACGCGTACACATACTGTTTCACACAAACATACTAGTTAGAACATTTCACCTTCTTCACATATGTACGCAATACAGTTTGTACTATATACAAGAACCCATTTAACAAGCAGAAAAAATTACTCATCCAATATTTTTCAATCATCTGTATATTCCAAATTGAATTCTTGTTATATAAAATGAACGTTAATTCTTAATATTACGTTGTGTCTTCATAGATTTTATTTTTTAACGAATGTCGTGGAATTGTTTTAAAAAGGCTAAATTACGAGCAGTCCTGCAACATTTTATATTATTGTATGGAATCCCGACACTCCACTTTTTAACCTTTTAACTAAAACCTGTGTAAAATGATGCCTACAACATGTACAGCTATTTTTGCTTTATATGATGCAATTTTTTTTATTTCTTGAAATAAACGAACTCTGAAGAGTGTCCAATTAAGACTTTCATTTTACAGATGGATGAAATAGCTTTGACCAGAAGATCTTGTAAAAATAAGACTGACGTATTCTGCTACATTAGCGGCGAATACCCCATTGTTTCTAACAGGAATCCAGTCACAAGTTTCATCAAGCGTGCTTTCGTACTTTATTTTGGTATGAAGATTGGTGACCAGGATAATGTTTGGGCGTCACACATTGTAGGTAAGACATGTACCTAGTGTCTGCGTTGGTGGACCAAGGGTAAGAAGGGTTGTTTGAAGTTTGGAATTCCCATGATTTGGAGGCAGCCGACAAACCATAGAACTGACAGCTACTTCTGTGCTATTGATGTAATTGGGATTAACACAAAGAACTGAAGCAACCTCAAGTATCCTGATTTTCAATGTCGAAGAAAAGAACTTGGTGTGCAGTACAGATATTGCACACCTTTTTTGTTTCCGTTTTCATGTCCATTAAAATATCCAAATATGCAACATCTTTCACACAATAAAATTAATTATTATGTTAATTATAAGCTTATTAATTTCAACCTATCATAAGTATTTTCAGCCAAATATTGATTTAAAAATATTAAAACACGCTTCTAAAATATCTATAAACCAAAAACAATTGTTTACATCTCAAAATAAACCAATACAAAAACATAGAATGTAAATTAGAAAGGTTGTTTTATTAGTCATTATAATTTAGATCTACCACCAAAATATTGCGTGGACGTAGTAGTAAGCATACCAAGTCACTTTTTAGGGACAATTAGGAATAACTAGTTATATAATTCAGGAGCCATTTTCTCAGGATAACTGTACCAAAATCACAACAGAGTCTCTCGGATTCCACTAAGGGCCATGTCATTCTAACTGCTGATGTTCAAGACTTCATTCACTTCCACACACACACTATCTTGAAACGACTCAACAGCTTGGTGACCAGGATCAAGTTTCGGCGTCACATATGGTAGGTAAGTCGTGTAACTAGTGTCTGCGTTGGTGGACCAAGGCCAAGAGTTGTTTGAAGTTTGGAATTCTCATGGTTTGTGCGGAGCCAACAGACAATAGAACTGATACCTACTTCTGTGTTAATGGTGAGACAGGGATCAATAAAAAGAACAGGACTAGCTTCAAGTATCCTGATCTTCAATCAACACGTTGTCTTGTAGCTCATTGTGATGCAAGTCCAATACCTGTCTTTGGAGAACTTCTTGACATTAGTGAGGAAGTTTTCTACAGTGTTCAAGAAAATGAAGAAAAAGAAAAAAAGTGGTTTTTGAAGATAATGCTCCACGTCTTTTTTTTTCCAAAAGAAAATGAACAATCAAATCCCTCTGCCAAACTGTCGGCATCCATATTGAAGGAAAAAATCTCCTCTCTGACAGTGCTCGCCTCACCTTCTACCCCAACAGGCATCGAAAGTAACTCCGTTTTTTTTTTCTCTGAAGAGAGGGAATTGGTGTACTGTACATATCCGTCCTGGGTATAACGATAAACTACATCTGCCTCCTGGGTATGACGATAAACTACATCCGTGTCCGGGGTATGACGACAAACTAAGTCCGACAGCCAAATATCGCTTCGAAAATATTAAAACACGCCTCTAAAATATTTATAAAGCAAAAACAGGAGGTTTTTAGGAGTGTGGAACCACCTCCTAATTGCTGGTGCTCCCAGGTCCACCCTGACCCGGGGTGGTAGCACGTGTTAGGGTCCCAGCTATCGGAAAATAGTTAATCCCTAAACGGGGGTCAAAACACTATGAAAGTGTAAAAATAGGTTTTAATAGCAGAAATACTTTTTTATAAAAAATTATTACCAGCAATACATTTTTGAAAAAAAAATATTACCAGCAATACATTTTGGGGAAAAAAATTACCTATATATTTTTTGAAAAAATATTAGCAGCAATAGTTTTTTTTTGAAGAAAAAAAATTTACCAGAAATAGATTTTTGATGAAAAAAAATATTACCAGCAATACACTTTTGATGAAAAAATATTACCAGTAATAGATTTTTGAAGAGAAAAAATATTACCAGCAATAAGTTTTTGGGAAAAAAATATTACCAGCAATACATTTTTGGAAAAAAAATATTACCAGCATTAAAAATTTTTGTCGGCATTAAATAACCCATTGTGGTTTATATGCTGTAACACAAACGAAACCAAAATGTACATATATTGCGCAGCTTCTGCGCTAAATTCGTGTGCCACAGAACGAACTCAAAGATTGGGGACTATTCACTGACACCAGCAAAAGATCACTACAATATGTTCTGCTGCAAATTTGCAACGAGTTTGCCTCTGTACTCCTCGCTCACACGACTACATTAAAGGATAAATAGGAAGCAGTGAAATATGTGCCGGAGAAAATTCCTTATGATCATCATGATTGGTTTAATTACGTTGACCTGAAGATGTAGGGCTTTTTGTTAGGACAACAGTCCGGATTCACCGAGTACCCATGCATTCTGTGCATGGGAGATATTAGTGACACTGATCATCATTCTACGAAAAACGACTTGTCTAAACGGGAGGAATTGATGTCATGTAGAGCAACGAACGTCATCAATAAGCCTCTGTGGACAGAGACATGATACTTTTCACATCGCTGCACATATCAAGCCCGGCTTGATGAAGCAGGTCATCAAATCTCTGGACAACAATAGTAGCTGATTCACTTACTTGTCCCAGGCATTTGCAGAATTGACGATGGAGAAGTTGACATCTTTGATGGTCCTCAATTCCAACAGTTCATGAGACATCCAGAGTTTGAAAACTCAATGTACGAAGTGCAACTGGAAGCATGGAATGCTTTTTTTTTCTGGTTTTGAAGAACTTTTTGGCAACAACAGTATCAGAAACTACACAGAACCTGCCATCAATATACTGACTGCTTTCAGAAACCTCGAATGCAACAGGAACATCAAAATGCATTATTTATTCTCACATAGGGATCGGTTTCCTTAGAATCTGGAATCAACGAGCGACGAACAGAGGGAGAATTTCCACCAGGACATGAAAGAGATGGAGATCTGGTATCAGGAACGCTTGGATGCAGTCATGAAGGCTGATTACTGTTGGACTTTGAAGAGAGAAACGTTTGCCGCTTATCATTGTAAGGGTACGAATAAACAAGACCTGAATTTTGAACAATGATGACGTAACATGCAATTTGCATGTACATACATTTATCAATATATACTATTCAATTTATTTTAATTGATATTTGCAAGATCTAATTAATAATTTGTGTTGAAAATTTTTTCTCTTATAATCTTATTTCCTATGAGAAATATTAAACAAAATTCAATCGATAATGTCACAAAAGTGTAATCGATTTATTCAGAAGATCGGATTTTTTAAAATTCAACTTAGCACAAAAACATGACCTGATCAAACTAAACGGATGTCATTTTCAGATTCAGCGGTGAAACTTTTCTTAAATGATTGGGAAAAAATATAGACAACCCAATTTTTTGTTGCTCAGTGATCTATGTGACACTATTTAGCGGTCGCGTGAAAATTAAAAGCGAGAAATAATTAAGTCGAGAAGGAGCTGAAATAATTAAGGCGATAAGAAGCTATCACGAAAAGACATACTGAGCGATGTTATTTTTTTGACAAAGAAAAGTGGTAAAGATTTTATTTTCATTTGCGAAGTAAAGTATTTTTTTCGCAAAAGATAGGAAAATCGTAAGATCTCGGATCTGTCGAATTGATTTATGCTACGAGGCGGCGAATAAAAGATAGCCATCTGCCCATGGCAATAATGAAAATTTCAAATTGGTCAAGTGGACTACGAAACAGAAGCTGGGAGATAATGTTAATGCTGGGCCACCCAAGAAAAAGAAAAGAATAAACCATTGACTATCCTTCATTTGGTTTTGGGAAAAACACCTGTTTTATGTTAGACCTGGCCACGATAAGAGTTTATTACCGGGAGAGATAATTAGCGACAGAATGCGAATACGTCCAGTTAACCACCCACTTGACGCTGGCGAAAATCTCGTTGATAAAGTCCAGGTGACATTCGGTTAAGATAGAGATTAAGGACCACACTACGAATCGTAGGGGTCTGGTGGAAAAAAAAGAAGAAAAGAAAAAAAAAAGGGAAGATAATTTTTTTTCTTTGGGCGATACTTTTGAACTGAGGCCAGTCTAGCCACACCCACGCTGCCGAGCGTTCATTAGCTGAATGGTGGCGTGAGCGGTAGGCGAAGTTAAACATATGAGAAGGAGGGGAGGCCTGTTGACGCCTCTGAGGGGATTGGTGTGAGATACCACTGTGAAAGAGAAGGGAAACTGGTTGACGCCCTCTGAGGGGATTCATGTGAGATATCAATACGAGAAAGGAAGAATTTGGGAGGGCGATACCCTTAAGAGCCCCTCTAAAGCAAAAAGTAATGAACTTTCAAAAATGGAAATTGAAAAATTTTCCTGTCCGAAAACAAAGAAAATCCTTATTGTGGATTTAGAATTATCGAGGAACCCCAAATCACGACAAGCCCACACCCGGTTTTGGTCGGCGTTCATATAAGCAGAGTCGCAGCGAGTTAGTTGGAGAGAAAGTTAGTTGCAGCTGTCAGTTGCAGTTGGAGAGAAAGTTAGTTGCAGCTGTCAGTTGCAGTTGGAGAGACGCAGACGCAGACAGAGTTGAGCTGTGAGCTCCGAGACCAGCCTCGCAGGAAGCTGACTGAAGATCCACGCATCCCGACTTCGACTTCTAACCATGAACAATTTATTTTTGAAGAACGACTTAGAATCACACAACCAAAACAAGTTTTACGAATATCGCCTGAAGAAAAAAAAAAACCCCAAAAAAACAGTTTCTTGAAAAACAACCTAAGATATTAAGACTCGCGTAACAAACGCAAAGTGTCACGTATCCATATTAGCGCTTTGGGAGAAAGACGCAGTCCTGTATTCAGCAACCAGATATAAAAATATTTGTTATTCTTTTTTTTTAACACATTTGAACTTTTCGAGTTGTTACTTTATTTGCTTTTACATATACTTGTGCGTTGTTACCTTTGCTCAGACTCGGCTTGCATTACGGCCCGGCGACTGATTGATTTCGTCTACCTAAGATCAAATCACAACGTGGGTAGGTTAGACTAGAAATCAAAGCAGTTACTTCGGTAACCAGACGTTGGAGGCGAGCTTGGAACGACAAAGCTGATACCGAATCTAATCAGATTCCCATCCGAATCAGCCAAGGGTTAGAACGCCACATTTGGTGCCGCGACCAGTACCAAGTCACATTGGTCGTCACAGAATAGCACGGGGGCAGAGAGGCCGGGGGTGACGTCACATCTATCTATCTATCTATCTATCTATCTATCTATCTATCTATCTATCTCCACTACTAATCGCCTTAGCTCCATAAACATCGCCACTTAACAAACACGCTGAGTTCAAAGGGCATTACCCTAGCCAAGACGCCACTCTATGTATATATTTAATAAAAAGTAATATATAACATATCAATTCAGTACTATCAAAGTCTGCAATTCAGAGTTTCATGGAACAAAAAAATCCAGGTGGTCGTCTTATGATTGTAGTATCATCATTTCCATTCACCCTCGGCAGCTCCTACGTAGTATTTAATTTTTCCACTACTAATCGCCTTCGGTTCATAAATAACGTCACTTAACAAACACGTTCCATTCCTCTGCCACTTTACAGTTATGTCTTTTAGCTTATTTTAAACTCTAGCTTTTATTCTTCTATATATATATATATATATATATATATATATATATATATATATATATATATATAAATAAATGAAGTGTTCATTGACTTGTCAACAGGATTAATGGTTAAAGTTCAGAACTATTGTTGTTTATTGATTTACAAAGAAGATTGAAGGTTTAAATTAAATATTAAATTATTAGAGTGGATTGGATCTGAAAAAAGAAAAAAATTCAAGATGTTATAGGAAGTCACAAAGTGTTTATATATTTTGGGTCACTGTGTGTGTCTATATAAAGAGTTCATGTATTCCTTTGAAAATCGACAGTCTTCAAGATAGACATTCCATTTATTATTTCTATCTTAACAGTGAGCCTAATGTTTATCGACGGAATCTAATGAAAAAAAAATGTGATCTCTAGCAGGGATTAAACCAGCGCCCCCGTTTTGTAGGTGAAATCATTGATTGACCCAGCGTATAATCCCTTAAGGAGGAAAATAGCTCGTTGCTGAAGTGCGAGAAACACTTTAGACGAGCGCTAATACACAGCGGATAAAACGATGTTTCGATTCTTGCCCGAGAACTCATTTTCACTGAAAGCACAGTCCGATGGACGTAATACACACTGATTAAAATAAAGATAAAAAATATGGCGTCTATTTTCAAAAACGTAATTATATATTTAGCGTAAAAATAACGAAAAATGCGTAAAACGTCAGTCAATTATGGAAACATCTTGACGAGTGGATTGGACAATTCCAAAAGACCATCAACGAAACTCAAAAGTAAAGATGCAGGATATAACAGTAATTAGCAAAGCGACAAATTCTATTTGTTTTAATAGTATCTCTCTCTCTCTCTCTCTATATATATATATATATATATATATATATATATATATACATAAACGATAAAGAATTATCAGGTAACTAGATATTTGTTGCTTATTTGTTACTTTTTGTTCCTGTGATGTCGCTTCGTGTTTGTTTATATTTAAGCAGCATATATTATTGAATTCAGGATTGCTTCTTCTTCGTTTATATCACCGTACCCTTCAAGTAGTGAATATTATGGTCATATATATATATATATATATATATATATATATATATATATATATATATATATGTAATCCTGACGGATAAACAAAACGATTACTAAACCGTTATCTACAAAACTCGAGAGTCGAGGTGCGGAATATAATATCAGTTAGCTTAGTGACAATTTTATTTATATTAATTTTTATATATATATATATATATATATATATATATATATATATATATATATATATATATATATATATATATATATATATATATATATATATATATATATATATATATATATATCATAATAAAGAGAAAGAACATTGAGATATATAATCCGGTGTTCTTATTAGAATTTTTTATTTTTACAAAACAGTGCTCAACGCAAATCTACAAAGCATACATGTTATAAATTTACTAATTTTAAAATAGGCTTCCATCGCTACACAGGAATTACCATGTTTTAAAAACAGAGGCTACAAACTTCAAATTCAGTTATAGAATTAAATTAAAGTCCCTAGTTCTCTTTCATTTTCAGGCGAATTTTGAAATAAGTTATTTTGAAATTTACTGAGTTTTCATAATATTAGTTTGTAAATATATGGTGAAATTTAATCAGTTTAACAAGGGGCGGTAGGCTATTCACTTTCACTGGCAACTATTGTATCAAAATATGAGTTAGTTGTCAGTGAAAATGAATACACTACCGCCCCTTATTAAAATGATTAGATTTCCCCATATCCTTAGAAAGTAATATTATGAATGTATGTGCTTTCGTAGACGGACCTGTCTGTCCCCTCATCAGTGTCTATCAACAATTGACTGTCTATACATCTCGGTTTTTAAACAAGCGATATATCAATAATCTCCATTTATAAGTTTGTTTCAGCTTATGAGAATGAAGGGGAAAGAAGCTAATCATTGTTTAGGGCTAATGTTTTAAATTATTTTCTAAATTTTGAGCATGGGGTGTTTTTTTTTTTTTTTGTTTTGGCTAATTATTGCTTACGACGAGAAAATGAGTCATTTTGCAGTGTTTCTTTTTATGTCCTCACTGCTTCTATCTATCTATCTATCTATCTATCTATCTATCTATCTATCTATGTGTGTGTGCGTGCGTACACTTTCTCATACTTATATCTTTGTTTACATGTGTCAGCTTATGTTCTAATAAAACCTATAAATATATGTCACGTTTTATAGCCTTATTTATGCGTAGGAAGATTGCGGCGTAGACTACCCAGTAGAAAAGAATTAATCTTCGTCTGCTTTGTTAGTTTGCTTACGGCAAAATCGTTTCTGGTTCTTGGAAAAAAAAAACCTTCAAAAGAGAACCATTATCATATGTTATTCCGCTTCAAGTTTCTGATCCGAATCTCATAATCAACACACTTATTATTCAGTTACTTATTTATCTAAGCTTAATTACACACACACACACACACACACACACACACACACACACACACACACACACACACACAAAACACACGCATTCACACATGCACATACGTATATGGGGGTACTGAAAAAAACACTATCTCAAAACCACCTTTTAAAACTGAAAAATTTGAAGAAAGCAATATTTCTTAGGAGGAAAGGTAATTCCTGGTATTCACTAATGTACGCATATATATATATATATATATATATATATATAGAGAGAGAGAGAGAGAGAGAGAGAGACAGAGATAGAGAAAAGAGAGTCCGTCAAAAATGTATAAACACTTCAGGAAAGTAAAAACTAGTTTTTCGTAGTTTTAACAAATTGCGATAAGATTACTGTACCCGAACTTTATGCAAATGATGATTTTTTTTTCTCAACAAGACGCCATCACGCCATACTACCAGTAACACTGGAGGCACTTCGACGTGGTGTAATGGTTAGCAACCTTGTCTCGCTAGATCTATTACAACTGGTGATAGTGAGTTCGATCCTCACTGGGTGCCCTTGCTTTGGTCCTTGTGCCACATCTATGCTTCGCTTAGAAAATCACCGTAATTTTGGGCATATTGCCGTGGTGTAATGGTTAACAAGCTTGCCTTGCCAGATCAATTCCGACTGAGTAGTGAGTTCGATCCTCATTGGGTGCCCCATACTTTCGGCCTCGTGCCGCATCTAAGCTGTGCTTAGAAAATCATTACTACCAGTAACACCTTAGAGCTTACCTAAATTTATTGCAAGGAGACTGGCTTGGAAGAAGAGATGCAGTCGAGTCCCCCCCGCATTATGTTCTTCTGATTTAACACCTGCAGACTTTTAACTATGATTTAACACCTGCAGACATTTACCTATGATTTAACACCTGCGGACTTTTACCTATGGGAACCCTAAAGGATGTTTTGCATCGCAGAAAACCTACTACATTGGCGGCACTTAGATATATAAGAGACCCGGATATAAGAGAAACCCGGATATAAGAGACTTCTTCTCCGGTCCCGACAACTCTCTTATATCCGGGTTACACTGTACCTATTATTTGGTTCACTTTACATAGACGAGTAGGTGAACACATTTCGTAAAAGCTCATTCATAACCTGTAGCAGATTGTACAATATATCGTCTGATCTTTAATCGAAAAGAGTTTGTTTTGAAAAAGGTATCTAAAATGATTTTTCTAAAAAATTCTAGAATTTTTCACACAGACACACTTATATATATATATATATATATATATATATATATATATATATATATATATATATATATACAGACACACATGTATATATATGATAAAAATAAAGAAACAAAAAATTATATCAATCTAACATGTTTCATTTCTATTAAAGTTTCGTCAGAGATTGAGAGAAAAAAAAACACAAAAAGCAGACATTTTCTTTGGGTCAGTTCTCATATGTCACGTGCATTAAAACCGTAGATAATTCTATAAGTATGTAAATTTGTAAAGATTCTCGTATGTCTAAGCTTAAATAAAAGTGAATCATGTTAGATTGATATACGTTTGCTAATTCTTCTTTATTTTATCATCGTGTCGGATTCCGATACACATTTGATGTGCATTTGATATTTAACTCACGCACGCACACACGCAGGCACACGCAGGCACACACACACACACATACACACACGCACACACACACACACGCGCGCGTATATATATATATATATATATATATATATATATATATATATAGTAATGATACAATAAGGTAATCCGTATGGAATTTCCAGGAGGATAAAGTTCTGTGGAGAGCTCTATGTGAAAAGACAGAGCAAAATTATTATTAATTAAAAAATATCAACCGCTTAAAATCCCATAAGCGCTGCCATCATCCTCAAATAACATACTGAGGTCAGTATATCAAAAGAGATCAACACTCTCATTCTTTCCCACTCTCTAAATAAGATAGCAATATCTCTTGATTTTTATCTGGAATATTGTTTTCCATTTCATTTGTGATTTGTTTGTAGGTCTTGAAGATTGAGAGCTGCTTTGTTTTAGAGCTCTCATGAAATTATTAAATGTGGGATTTTAAGTGTTTGATACTCTTTAATTAATAATATATATGTGTGTGTGTGTGTGTGTGTGTGTGTGTGTGCATGTGTGTGTGTGTGCGTGTATGTGTAAAGACTGAGATATAAATAAAAATATATATGTAAGTAGACAATATAAATAAAGAACTAAGGAAAGTTA